ATATATATATGTATGCACGGGGTATGTTTTCGGGACACTTTTATAATAAAACACGCATTGTGGAGACTTTTGCATGATACAGGGACTGTCCCAGAAATAATTTGTGATATACCGCATATTTTGGGGACAAATTTAAATATCAGCATACAGATCGAAAATAGAAGATAACGAATGTAACAGCTCCATAATGGATATCATCCAGATACATATGCCACCAAGAAGGTCACTATATATACGCTCTAAATAACGTTTTTATGCATGTTAAAATTTCATTTTTTATATGTAGGATATATTTTGGGGGCATATACATTGACTCCATTTTATACCTGAAAAGTTATAGTATCTTTCGTCTTTTTTGGCCAGTTTTAATGCAATGAATTGTATGTTGTATATTGGCTACAAATTAATGCGGTTTAGTTGCAATAAATGCATTTTTTTAATGGTCAAAGTTATCATATTTGTATAAGGTGACTACCCTGAACGGGGGAACACAGGAATGGAACATATATATAGAGCTATTATTTCAGGGCTTCGGGACACATTTTTACCAGGGATGTGAAACACTATAATGAACAGCATAATATATATAAAAACTTGCTAGTATTATTTATACCTGCCAACAAGTTATGTAAATGCAATTCAGTTGTATTACTTTTGCTGTATATAATTTTATTATTTGACTTATGGCCCACTATATTTCTATTGGTGATATTTTACGTCGTCAGCACAAATTACAAATTTGTTTTAAATATCCAATTTAATGTGGAGGAACCAATGTAATTATTCGAAATTATGAACTTGTGCATGTATGTTTATGAATTAATTCAATATATTAGTATATTAGGATTTAGGGAGGTGAGAAATATAACATACAGAAGAAGGCGTGACAGACTCCAAAAAGTATATATATTCTTGATCAGGATGAGAAGACGAGTCTGTTGTTGGTTGTTCGAGCTCTTATACTTTTTGAGATCTTTGCGTTCATACAGAAGCACGGACAGACGGACGGACGGACGGACATGGCTATATCGACCCGGCTTATCATTCTGTCATCCATCTTTGTCCAAAATTTGGTGTCTCTAGCTCTTATAGTCTCTGAGATCCTGGTGTTCATACGGAGGGACAGACGGACAGACGGACAGACAGACAGATATAGATCGACTCGAATTGTCATGCTGATCAAGAATATATATGCTTTGTGGTGTGTGCCACGCCTCCTTTTGCCTCTTACATTTTTCAGCTGCCGCAAACCTATAAAAACAAAAAATACTCCATATTTTTATGTCACAACTTATTTCTTCAAAGGCAAGAATATGTACTGCATACAATAAGCTGTGAGCCACTGTATGTGTATTGTGGACAATCGAACACTGTTGTGTAATTTGTAATAGTGCGCTATGGTTTTAAATGATAAATCAAATTTTAAAAACAACTGCAAGTCATTGGATCGGTCTTATTGTTCTTCTTTCATTCACTTTATTTCATCATTTACGTCTTTTTATACCCTGTACCCGTAGGGTAAAAATGGTATATTAAGTTTGTGCAAAGTATGTCCGTCCGTCCGTTTGTCCGTCCGTCTGGATGAACGCAAGGATCTCAGAAAGCTGGAACAACCAAAGTTGGTATGTAGGAGAATCTCCTAGGTCCGAGAAAGGAAAAATTTTGTTATTTTTAATTTTCCATCCCTTTCTACGCTACAGAATTTCGTCAATAGCGTCCACATTTCAAATGCTACCTAAGCCAAACTTTGCATACATAATTTATATATAATTATCTACTGTTGTTCAATTTTATTCAATTTGGTCAGTAAACACCCACCCCGCATATAACTCAGTGACGGAAGTTTACCTGGGTACAGGGTATTACACTGCGGGCTTGTTGGAATGCAGCGTTCTCTCTTGTTATTGCTAGACAAAATGCCAAAAATTTACAGTTACCGTCGCTAGGCAACGACTCGGTAAGCGACAGTAAAGCGGAAACTGAAAACGGACTACGCATATTTTGCTTCGCATTCCGGCAGATGTATGCACATTGCACATTGGGCCAGAAAGCCGATTTTTGTGCATAAATTCGAAACTTGAAATTTAGTACTTTTACTTGTAATGACATGCATAAGAACTGTGCTAAATTTTGGACCGATCCGACCACGCCCACTCCTATCCCCAATGAACAGAGAGAGAGAGAGACGCTACAGCCGAACGAGCCCGACAGTAAAATACCCTGTACTCCAGCAAAAAAGAAAAAAATATTTTAAAATATCTTCTAAACATAATTTATAAATAAATGTATCTAATTAATAAAAAAAAAAAATATATATATATATATATTTAATCCTTGGGACTGTGTGCTTGTGAGTCTGTTTACGTGATGTCCCCAACTATTTAATATTTGTTTTATTTGCTTTATATGCGAGTTGAAAGCCTTATTTCTATATTTTGAAATCGTTGAATACCAAGTAGTATATCTAGCAATTTTGAATTTGTAGCCCAAAATTTGAAATCGATCGGACAAAATTTATAACACAAACTTTTTATTGGAAAACAAGAAAGGAATGCTAAAATCGAGCAGGCTCAACTCTTAATTACCCTGTACCACCCCACAAAAAATAAATTAAATTAATTAATTATCAGAATCAGGATCAGAAAAAATGAACAAACTCGTCCTTTCTCGGGCTCAGGAGAATCTAGATACCAAGTTTGGTTATTCTAGCTCTTATACTTTCTGAGATCCTTGCGTTTATACAGACAGACAGACGGACATGGCTATATCGACTCGCCTTGTCATCCTGATCAATTCATTTGAATTTGAATTGATAGATTTGGTAGTCACATCCAATTAGTGATTATATATCTGTATATCAAGTTTCATTACAATAGGTTGATTACAAAGAAAGTTATAGCCATATAACCAAGCCTAAGCTCTGTCCGCAGCTGTATTTGTTGCTGATTTGACATAATTATTTAATGCACACATATGATGTAATGTAAATGTAAATTTATGTATGGAATATTTTATATTTAATTTAATTAATTAATTTTTTTTTAGTAAATTTTTTGTGGGGTGGTACAGGGTATTTAAGTGTTGAGCCTGCTCGACTTTAGCATTCCTTTCTTGTTTTTTTTTTAAATTTCTATAAATATTCTACACACATGTACAGAGTATTTTAATGTAGGGACAGCCCCTATTCCACTTGTTTTATTTCTTCCGCCAAATAAACAAGTAAAAAAGCTAAAGTCGGGTGTCCCGACTTTGAAATACTCTGTACATATGTTTACAATAATTATAGAAAATAAAAAAAATTAAGAAAATAAAAAAAAAATTTGATCGATTTTACCTCTCTCGGTATTCGAACTCACGTAAAGGGTGTATAATTGCACATTTACATAGCAATTGCGTCTGCGTGAGTGTATGTATGCCTATGCGCATCAATTCGTGTCTGTGTAAGCATTTTCGCAGTCAACCAAACAGCAACATCAACAACAGCCGCGGGCAGCGCTTGAGCAGCGCTGCAGCATCGCTGCATCAGCAAATATATTTATGGCTATAACTTCTTGTTAAATCGGTCTATCATAATGAAATTTGGCATACGGACACATAATAACTAACTGGGGGTATTTCCAAAATTTTAGTTCGAAATTCCAAGAATTACGGGAGTTACGATTTGCGGGGTAGAGGGGGGAGGGAGGGGAATTCCAAAATATACATTTTCTGCGTATTCACATAAGGCATCTGGGTGTTCCTAGGTCTTATAGTCTCTGAGATATAGGCGATTATACGAATGGAAAATCGGGAAAACTCCCATAGGGGGGAAGTGGGGGGGAAAATCAAAAAAATAAAACAAACTCGTATAGAATACACACATAACGCATCTTTGTGCAAAATTTGGTGTCTCTATCTCTTATAGTCTCTGAGATCCAGGTGTTCATACGGACGGACAGACGGACAGACAGACAGACAGGGCTAGATCGACTCGTCTCGTCATGCTGATCAAGAATATATATACTTTGTGGGGTCTGCCACGCCTCCTTCTGCCTGTTACATTTTTCAGCTCCCGCAAACCTAATATACTCTTGTACATTTCATGTACAGAGTATAAAAATGCCAAGGCCACGCTAAATCAGTGCTAGAAGCCTAACGTTAGAGAAAGAACGTTAAAAGTAGAGCTGAAATACATATATGAATACCCAACTGCGCGCGACACATGCTTTGGTTGCCTTCTCTTTCTTTGGCGACACAGTGGATATTTCTCAGAGGATATTTATTAAAAAGAAAACAAATTTTTAAGTGTTTTGAAGAATTTTCGATAACAATATATTGTCGGAAAAAAACTCAAACTCGTACTTTCTCTTCGGTTATTCTAAGACTTATACTTTCTGAGATCTTTGAGTTCATACAGACATATGTATGTACATATGTATTTTATAATTTTTTTGATGCTGACACATATGTACATACATACACGCATAGAATCACAAAAACACAATTACTATGTAAATGCTCAGTTATAATCCATCAAAATTTTTCTTTTATAATATTACAATTTCGTTAAAATTCTATAATTATTATACGAAAGAAAAGTTGTTAGAGAAACAAATTCACTACAGTACTTCGCCCACATCTGGACACATACATACATGTGTATGTATAACTTGGTGCCGGAACTTAGTCTGGGAACAGGGTATTTTACTGTCGGCCTTGCTCGACTGTAGCGTTCTTCCTTGTTTTAATATTAATATGCGTATAAATTACTCGTGAATAAACTTTTACAATTATAATTATTCGTGAAAATGATTATTCTTATCATTGATGACAATAATTGTTGCCAAAAATGCTAATGGCATTGAACAAATAAGTAAGTTTTTTATTTGAATCAATCTTAAATTATATTATCTTAAAATGTAATTAGCAAATTAAAAAAGATGCAAGTCTCCTTTATATTATACAATATATCTATTGCAAACAATTTGTTGACATACTGTACATTCGTACCAGTGTGCACTGCACTGGAATGGCCTTGAATGAATAGTAAAGAATAAAAGAACCGTTAGAATTGTCAGCTCTGCCTTCTCTGCATTGTTTGATGATCAGTAAGCAAGTGAACGTCATAAAAATCGGTTGTGTTACCTTCTTCGGAACTAAAAATGTTTTACTTAATAAAGTGCGGAAAGTTGTACGTTTTTGAGAAAAAGAAATGTAAAATAATATCAAAAAACATTTGTTTAACAAAAATAAATGGAGCTACTTTTGAAGCAGAAATTATTAATTCCAGTGGTAAGTTGCATCGTAAATTTGGTCATACTAACATGCACACATACTTATATACATTCGTATGTACATATTTACGTTTATGTAGAATCAAAAGAACTTCTCGAAGGCCTATGCAAAAAGATGAATGAGGCGTTATACAGTAAGTATAAAATTTTTTTCACCGATATAAAAGAGTGGCAAACAAAAACTAATTTTTAATTAAATTTTTCCATTTTAGAGGCCAAGAGCAAAACCTCTGATGGTGGCGTTAACAAAGAAAACATTCAAAAAGATTCTGGTAAGGTATCTTGATTATTATAAATAAAGTTAGATGTAATACTAATATTTTAATTTATAAATCTCCTATTTTAGTTAAACAAAAATTGTCTTACAGCAGTGAAGTAAATAATAATGAAGTGGAACTTTATAAAGAATTAGGTAAGTAAATTACTTGAGTAATATTGCTGTAAGCAAATATTTCAAGAAAATTGGCAGTACTAAAGGGAATTTAAATTTCAGAGGGACTAACCTCTGATGGTGGCGTTAACAAAGAAAACATTCAAAAAGATTCTGGTAAGGTATCTTGATTATTTTAAATAAAGTTAGATGTAATACTAATATTTTAATTTATATATCTCCTATTTTAGTTAAACAAAAATTGTCTTACAGCAGTGAAGTAAATAATAATGAAGTGGAACTTTATAAAGAATTAGGTAAGTAAATTACTTGAGTAATATTGCTGTAAGCAAATATTTCAAGAAAATTGGCAGTACTAAAGGGAATTTGAATTTCAGTGGGCCAAACCTCTGATGGTGGCGTTAACAAAGAAAACATTCAAAAAGATTCTGGTAAGGTATCTTGATTATTATAAATAAAGTTAGATGTAATACTAATATTTTAATTTATAAATCTCCTATTTTAGTTAAACAAAAATTGTCTTACAGCAGTGAAGTAAATAATAATGAAGTGGAACTTTATAAAGAATTAGGTAAGTAAATTACTTGAGTAATATTGCTGTAAGCAAATATTTCAAGAAAATTGGCAGTACTAAAGGGAATTTAAATTTCAGTGGGCCAAACCTCTGATGGTGGCGTTAACAAAGAAAACATTCAAAAAGATTTTGGTAAGATATTTCGATTATTATAAAGTCGACTGTGTTACTAATTTTTAATTAAATTTTTCCACTTTTAGAGGCGATTGGAGCAGATGGCTTCGACCCCATTCTGAGTAAGTTAATAGATAAATCATAAATATAAGTTACAAATAGTTAAAACTGTTAAAAATTGCAAGAAAATCTGTGAAAAACTAAATATAATAAGTGAAAAAGTTAAAGTTGAGTTTACCGCCTTTAATTATTAAATTTAAGTTCGAAATCCATACTGCAGCGTACTCACATAGGGCATCTATGTTTAAAATTTGGTGTTATGTAGCTCTTGTACTATTTCAGTTCTAGATTTGTATATAAACGGCATCACGGAAAATCCTTAATAGTAGCGTAATGGTGGAGGGGGGGGGGGGGGGTGAGTAGGTGAGATCCAGTTGTTCATTTGGACGGGCAGACATGACTCAATGGACTAATCTCGTCACGCTGATCATCAATAATATATATTTGTAGGGTCTGTCATCTTCTGCATGTTACATTTTCACTTTGCACAAACCTAATAAGTATTCGCTTTTTTCATTTTATGTATAGAGTATAAAAATGTGACTAATCCATAAAATACCCCGTGCGTCTACGAAATATTTCTTTCGTAATAAGTGAACAGAGTGTTTATAGTCTGTTTTTTTTATAGTTTTATAAGATACGTTAATTTTAAAATGTTAATTTAGAAAGCTTAATAATCATTTTTAATAGATTCTACAGAACATTCAGAAATTAGTTCAAAAGCAGTTAGTGGCTATACCGACACTTTGGAATCACTCGGATCTAATTGGCCAGAATCTGCAACATACGATGGCATCAACTCATCATTAACAATAAACGAGTCATTTTCATATGAAGCTCAAGTACCTCTTTTTGATCTTAGACATGTTGAAATACCTACAGCAAAAACACAAACAAAGAGCAAAAGACACTTTTGTATGTTCTGCAAAAAATTGCAAACAAAATTTGCTCGACACTTACAAAACGTTCATATGAATGAACCAGATGTTAAGAAATTTATGGTTCTTTCAGCTAACGATCCCAATCGAAAAATTCTAATTGATTCTATTCGGAAAAAGGGAGATTTTATCCACAACACAGATCAAATCTATAACGAAGGTATTATAATAGCACCTCGCCAAAACCGAATTAATTCTCGTAATGGTCCACATGATTTAATAAGTTGTAAAGGTTGTCTTGGCTTCTTTCGGAAATCGACAATTCGTTGCCATATTCGCAACTGCCGTGTTTTTCATCCTAATGGTTCGAAAAACATGTTAAGGGATGGACGCAGCAAAACTGGCTATATGCATAAAGCTGCAAATGACATATTGCGTCGAAAAGTTGTTCCAGTTTTAAATGACGATGATATAACGAGAAATTTATTATATGACCATTTGATCGTATTATTGGGAAATGCAGAATGCATGAAGTATAATGCATTACAACATGATATGATTCGGTCTCATTTAAGAGTATTAAGTAGATTGGTAATAGAATTAAAACAACAGTCGCAAGGCCAAATAAAGGAGTTAAAGGATGCCATTCATCCCAAACATCATGAACTTATGATGTCTAGCATTCGAACTGTTTCCCAGTGGGATAACGAACTTTTGCTTTTTAAAACCCCATCGGTTGCTACAAGTCTAAGCTCATTAATAAAAAAATGTGCAAAAATATTATTGACACAATGTATAATAAATCAAGATGAGATAAATAAAAAATTAGTAAATGATTTTATTGTCTTATGGGAAACCGAAATACCTGTAAACATAAACAAAAAAGCAATCGAGGACCAAGCCAAAAAACGTCGATCTGTAAAAACAATTTTACCTTTGAAAGAGGATATTAAAAAACTCTTTGATTTTGTTAACAAAAAATCCGCCGATGCGCTGAATGTTTTGAATAAGAAATTCGATTTTGAAGCGTGGAATAGTTTGATACGAAGCACATTAATAAGTCTCCAAATATTTAACCGTCGTCGGGCTGGAGAAATAGAACGATTGAGCATTGAAAATTATAACACCGCTCATGCAATGGAAGAAAATATAGACAAAGATGTTCTAAATAAACTGACAGCTAAAACGAAACAAATTGCAATGCAATACAAAAGGTTGACTCTTCGAGGAAAATTAAATAGAACAGTGTCAGTACTTCTTACTCCCTTTGATTGTTTTTGTATCGATATGATCCTCAAACACCGCAGCGAAGCTGGTGTCGATGAAAAAAATTGTTACATATTCAGCGTTGCAAGCCCGAAATCACTTGGGAAAGAGTACATTCGTGCTTGCCCAATTTTAAAACAATTTGCTTATGAATGTGGTGCCAGCTGCCCAGAAGCCTTGAGGGGCACAATGCTTCGCAAACATTTAGCAACATACACTTCTATGCTAAATGTTGAAGATATTCAGATAGACCGACTCGCGAATTTTATGGGCCATCATAAAGAAATACATAAAAATATTTACCGTGTCCCCGCTACAATTGCGGAAACTACAGAAGTGTCCCAAATGTTAATGGCAGCCATTGGGAATAGCCCCGAACGGAATAATAAGAACCCAAAGCCCGGTAAGTTTCTATGTTTAGCAAAATTAGGCACAATACGTCACATATATTACTCTAACTTACATATTCTCATTAGGCGAATAAAATAAAATCCTAATTGAATTAAAAATTTTTTTTTTTTAGCAGGTGAACTTTATGAGAAAGATAATTGTGCACAAGACATCGAAAATGAAGGTACAATATTGAAATTTTTAGATAATTGAATTGTGTATGTGTGTGACTGGGTACATGTATGTTATATATAGTATATCACTTAGGGACCCGATCAAGCTCTTGGCCATTGATTTTCATTATTCGTCGAAAAGACCTGAGACTCCTTTACAGTTTCATCTCCGGGCCCTGAAAGATATACTATAAGTCATATATGAACCATACTTAAAAAAAAAAAAATTGAATTCAATTTTACAGCTGAACCTTTTGAGGATTCTGGATCCGAATACATCGACGAAAATGAGTCTGAAAAGTCAAAAGAGGAAATAGTTGAGTCGCAGCCAAATCGAAAACGCCGCAGTAGTAAGAACAAAAAACTATAACATTATACAAATATAAACCAAATTTTGAATGCATGAATTGTATTTTTATTATTAATTTTACTAATCTTATTTAATTTTGTATATAGCATCTCCTTTTGGAAAGACACAACGCATTCGTTGGTCGCCACCTGAGCGAAAAGAGATGGAAGAGGCTTTCGGCAATTTCAAATCGTTGAAAAGATTACCTAGTTTGGCAGAGTGCAATAGGGTTATTGCTGCATCTCAATATTTAAAGCGTCGTACTCCAGCACAGCTTAAGTCATGGATTGACAATCAGCGAAAGGCTGAGTCAAGAAAAAAATCAAAATAATTTTATAAAAAGAATTGCATTACGGAAATGCTAAAACAAAAATTAGTTTACACTTTATAACTTGATACTTTTATATGTTTAACAAACAAAAATGAATGAAAATGTATTCTTTATTTTAAAAGTTTATGAAAGAAAATCATTTTTTTAGAGTTTAAACTAGTAGCATTACCGTAATGTAATTCTTTTTTATAAAATTATTAATATTTTTTTCTTACTGGAGCCTTCCGTAAACAATCAACCGTTAATTGTCAACGGAAGTCTCCGATAAAAAAAAAAAACAATATTAATAATTTTATAAAAAAGAATTGCATTACGGTAATGGTGCTATACAAATTTGTTTGCACTATAAAACTTGATACTTTTAGATGTTTAAATAAAAATTTTATGAAAATAATTGCATTACGGAAATGCTACTACAAAATTTTTGTACACTTTAAAGTTTGATACTTATAGATGCTTAACAAACAAAAATGAATGAGAATTTTATATAATTTTATAAAAATGAATTGCATTACGAAAATGCTACCAAATTTTGATTGATACTTTTAGATGTTAAGCAAACCAAAATGAATGAAAAGTTTTTCTTTATTTTATAAGCTTATTAAGAAATTACATTTTTAGAGTACAAACAAAAAACTAAGAGTCCTGCTGGATCCTCATTAATTAATCAATTACTTTGTCATGTATTCCAAGTTTTGTGTTCAAATATATTACATTTTCACAAATGCACAACAAAACAATTTGAAAAAATTGTTTAAAAATTTGGCTTATGTTGGGGATAATCACTTAATTATTTTCAAATATATCCATACATGATTTCAGAAACATATTGTTGTCATAAGGGTAGCTTCAAAATATTTATAAATTTGAAGGACTAATAAACATATAAAACCATAAAAATAATTGCTTAAGTTCCATTTAAATTTTAAGGACCTTTTTTTTATTGAGTGATGTCCTTATAAAGTACACCGAGCATGTTGAAATCAAACGTTAAAATTCAAATCCATCAATCCCATTGAATTAGCTAAATACATACATATATCAAGAAAATTTTATTTAATTATTTTCTATGTCCTAAAGGTATATATTAAACTCGAGAGTATAAGTATATCATTTAAGGTTCGTTTCATATTATTATTCTAGGCTCCGAAAAATATACGTTAAGCATAATGAATATATAATCATTAAAATTCAAACCTGGTTTTATTTCAATATACATATACATACATATATATGTATACATTTAGGGGACATATTTCATTTCCAATATACTTGTATATATTGAGTATAATGAAATGTATGTAACCGTTAAAATTCAAACTTGATTTTATATTAATGAATATATGTATATACCCAGGCATAATTTGGGGGACATTTCAGTTCCAATATTCCTGTGTCCTCAAAATATACGCTGGGCATAGTTAATATATAAAACCGTTGATATTCAAACTTAACTTAATATCAGTATATATAATTATCCAGACTCTCTTTAAGGGACCTTACAATTCCAATATTCAACTGTCCTCAAAATATACGGTGAGAATAAAGAAATATATATAACCGTTGAAATTCAAACTTTATTATATTTCAATATATATATATATCCAGACTCAATGTAAGGGACCTTTCATTTCCAATATTCGGCTGTCCCCAAAATAATACGTTGGATATAAGAACTGTTTATGAGGTTGCAACTCTACACCACTGTCCCCGATATATACTTTATATAAAAAATATTTTATATACATATATTTCGTACTTTATAATTCTAATATTTCGAGGACGGTGTCCTGAAAACATGTGTTTGGTAATGTGTCCTCAAAATAAACTTATAGTATATAGATGGCCATAGATAATGTCTGAAAGCTCCAAAACCTTCAAGCGTTGGAGCACGCAATTTTTGGGGCGTGCATGATGTGACGCTGTGGTCAAAACCCCAAAATTTTAGGGTCCTCAAAATATACATCCGCACATATATATATATATATATATATATATATATATATATATATATATATATATATATATACATATATATACATACATAAGCAATAATGTGAAGTGATTAGTAAAAAATTTGATTTGGGTACAACATTCGTCCTGCTGATCAAGAAAATACTTATATACTTTGTGGGATCTCAGTAACGTACATTCGCATTAAACTACATATTATACCCGACGGGTACAGGGCACAAATATTCTTCTCCCTCCCATTTAATCAACTGCCAACTGTGTTCACGTGCGGCTTAGTAAATGTGAGATATCGTCTTTTTTATTGCATGTTAAAAAGGTAAGCTCCTTTTCAGCCCGGCAAAGGTAGCTGGCCAAGTAACTTGCTAATAAAATAAAGCCTTAAAAATTTATCCGTCGAGTGCATGATGAATTTCCACCGTTCATTGATTTTAAGCAATAAAATATAATTTAGATTTTTGCATGTCCAAAACGAGAAATCATCACAATACACACATAGACTAGGCGATACTTATAAAGAAGTATGGGAAGAGAACAAGCGAAATATGAAATGGCAAATCCAAACCAATACGAAGACCACAAGGTGAACAACATGCAATGGAAAACACGGCAACAGACACAACTGAGAGCATGGCTTGTGGCAGCCTGCCTGCTTGCGTCTTTATTGTTGCCGTTGCTGCCGTTTCTGCTCCTTATACAACACCCAAAGGTATCAGCAGACAAAATGCTAAAAATGTATTTACCACAAAAGATGCTGTTGGTGCAATCAGCAACTGCGACGCAGACTCAGCCGCTCATTGCTGCAATGCGCCGCGCTGCGCTGCGCTTAATGGATCTTCACCACTTTGAGTGATTTATTTCACACGTTGATGAAATGGACAGCAATGGGCCACATTTTGACGTTTATTGCAGCAGTGGCAGGCAGCGTACCAGTAACAGCAAAAACAACACCCGCCAACTGCCCATGGCATGTGTTGTGCGCATGCGCAGCCCTGCAACCACGACGACGAAGATGACGACAACGAAGAGCTTGCAGTTTTTATACCCTGTACCCAATAGGAAAAGGCTATGCTAGCTTGGTGCGGCTGTATGTAACATACAGAAGGAGGGCGTGGCTGACTCCACAGAGCATATATACAAGTATTTTTGAACAGAATGACAAGTCGAGCCGATATACCTATGTCAATAGCCCAGTTCGTCCGTCTGTATGGACGCAAGTAACCCGAAAGGTAGTGCTAGAATAAACTAAACTGCAGTTCTTTTGAAGTACCTCCCTCGGCTATTAAACATGTTCCATAACTTAATTTCTCATTTACATCCGGTGAATGTTTATCTAAAAGATCAACTCTAAAGGTATACATTTTATAAATGATATATCTGCTGCTTCAGTTCAACTCTGTACCGCACACATAGACACAATTCATATATATAGTAATAATATGCCTCAAACTGTAAATAAGCATATGCCCCTTCGTTCGAGTTGTTTTATTTAATTAGTAATAACAATTTATTTGTATGAGCGAGTACAGGGTATTTAGGAGTTCGACGCTCTCGACTCTAGCATTCCATTCTTGTTACAATTGGAGTCTGCAAAGTCAAGTCCGCATTCGGAGCCTGTTGAACGTCTTTTGGTAATAGCCCCAACCGCGAACACTCTAATGAGACGCGGTGCACATTGGCATCGAAACAGTTGTTGCATACGCACCAGCTCTTAACTTGTTTTGCAGCATTTCGGCTTTTGGTGTTTTTTTATTTTTTGCCTGTTGAAACATTTAATTGCAACTTAATTAGTTTATATGCCGAAGCCGCCGTTGTCGTTTTTCCGCTTTTGCTGTTGCTTCTGATGATGACAACGAGCAAGCAAGTGCCAGAGTCAGGGCTATACATACTTGTACAGTGTCTTGGACATGCCCATTTTATGTTCAAGTGAATGAAAATTGGTATACGTGTATGTGTGGATATGCGTGGGATTTCCTTTTCACGACTGCAACCAAATACTAGCGCTGACCCCAAGCCAAATGCGACCCGACCCAACCGCGACAATTTCGTACGACCCACTCACGAAAAGTTAACGACAAAAAACCCTCGAGAAAAGTCAATTTAACACATTCACTACGCCTCTTAAAATGTTGATATTTTAATTAGTTGCGCTCTAAAGGATTTTCAACAGCTAAGCGAAAGGTATCACCCACTACCAACCCAGCTGGCTGGATGCTTTGTTGGCTCGCTGCACTCCAGCCCATATAGAAAAAATGCCAAAGGGCGCAAATACAGCGCGCATTGTGAGCTGACTTTTGTCTTTTTTGTTTTAAGCCATAATATAGGACAGAAGCGCCGTAAAGTTAGAGTAAAAAGGAGTTAAGGCCCGACAGAGTAATGGAATGGCTGCAGGTCATATTCAACAAATTTGAGTTTCTGGTTCAGGCCTTACTTTTAAAGACCATGTGTGTTTTTATACCCTCTGCCTAAAGGGTAGTAGAGTATAATAGTTTTGTACGAATTTATGTAACACGCAGAAGGGTGACGAGCCGAGTCGATATAGCTACGTCCGTTTGTCTGTCTGATCAAGAATATATGTATATACTGAGTTCGAAATTTCAAGAATTACGGAAATTATGGAAAATAACGAATTGTGGGTGTCCCTAGGTCTCATAGTCTCCGAGATATAGCTGATTAAACCAACGGCGTTTCCGAAAGCCGCCAGAGTGGGGAATGGAGGGAAAAATCCAAAACATAAAACAAACTCGTATAGCGTACACACATAAGGCATCTTTGTGTTGATTCCCATGCCAATCCCTCTTGTATTGTAACGACTCTGCGCAATGAAGAATTCCCCATGTGCCATTCTGCTGTAGTTTCTGCCCACAGTTTTTCACTGTTTCGCTTTATGACACTCAGTATTCAGCAAATAGCCTGCTCTGGGTCCGCTCCCTCGCCCGACAGATTGAGGCAATAGGTTCAAATGCCAGGCCAGAGGAAAACCACCGAAGCCGTGCATTAAATGTGGGACCGTTGATGTTGGCATCGATGCTGACTCAAGAGTCAAGCTCAAGTCCACGCAGACAGAGCGAATACA